TTCCCAGTTTCTCGTCCCCTCTCTCTCCTCTCCCCTCTCTCCTCTCTCCTCTCTCTCTCTCTTCTCTCCTCTCCTCCCCTCCCCTCCCCTCCCCTTATCTCATCTCTCTCTCTCTTCTTCTTCCTTTTCTTCTTTTTCTTTCTTTTCTTTCTTTCTTCAGTGCTGGGGATTGAGCCCCGCCAGGTAAGCACTCTACTCCTGAGATATACCCATAGCCCAGTAGGTGACTTTTCAGTGCTCTTAAAGGTATTGAAAAGTTTAAAACATTTGAGCAGGGGGGATGAGCAACAGTCTAGTTTTATTTAAAACTGTCTGGATCCGTCTTAAAAATAGACCATCCTCATGAGGGAGAACTGAAAAGCAAGCTTTACATCAGCTTAATCTCCTCACCTGGGATTCAAAATGTTTTCAAGGTTAAAAACTGTGTGATATAACTCTCCAAACCCATCTTGGCAGGCGCTACATCACAGGTACAGTGGAAATTGCTCTTCTGCTAGATGTGAGTCTCATTGTAAGTGCCAGTGTTTATATTTTATGTCCTGCCTTTTGTCTTATGTTGAATTTGTTTCATCTTGTAAAGATTAAGAAGAGCATGTTCTGGCTTTTAAATATGAGTTGAATTATTAATGATTTCTGAATAAAAAGTGAACCCACATTTCTTCTTCCAAAAGGAAAACAGTATATTCTCACAAACTTTAGAGCTCATTAAAATCAAGTGTCATTTAAAGTTTTCCCCTAATTCATCATGAGCATTTTAGTTCCTTTGTGATTTGTGACATAGCTATTTCTCAAATGGAGAAAATGCAGGGGCCACATGTAATCTACGGTAAGTCGATTACATTCTTTATGTATGTTTTAAATATAGTGGTGGCTTCCAAGCAAATCTTGCTTTTTTTAAAATTAAATTTTCAAATTTAACGTATAAAATTGTGATGTCTATAATTAGGTACACTTCCCCCTCCACATTGTAGTATAATAACCTCATCATGTCATTTTGTACCATAATATGTGATAATTTCATTAATTAAGATGAAATAATTAAGATTATTGAATCTTTGTGGACAGATTTTAATTTTTTTCATTTATTTTAAGTAGGGAAGTTTTAGTGACCAACATATTCTTAATTAGTAAGCACTGAATCCTTTTTTAAATAGTCATCATTTCTCATATGATGGGAAATCAGGTGGCTTAGGAAAAATTGGCTAACTATGGAAGAATTGCACAATAGGTAAAGGCATTTCATCTATAAAGAACATGTGTAATTGTTCCCTTTCCCCCTGTGTCTATATAGTTAGATATAATTGTATCCTTGGATTTTATTTCAAATTGGAGGTCATTTTTTTAAAAAAATTGGTCTCTAAGGGACAGAGGGGTGGGCAGTTAAAGAAAGTACATACATTCTATCAAAATGCAGAAAAGAAAAATATCAAAAGATCATAGAAAAAAGAAAGCTTATTGGCTAATAATAAATTTAAGTGGCATCAATTAGGAGATTTACCTGTCCTTTTAATATATTAATGTGAATTGCAACCTCCATTAATCAGTGTCTTCCTAGAATAATTTACATAAATTTATACAAAGTGTGTGTATTTGTGAGTGTAAATATAAAATAAATATATCACAAATAATATATCCTGGTATACTTTGAAAAAGTATTATGAAATTTGATACATTCAAATATTTTTCATGACATGAATGGGGTTTCTTTTATACTAAAGGCAAAATATATATTTTCATTGTCTTATGCAAAAAGTTAAATAAAAGTATGGTGATATACTTGCAGGAACAAGAAAATGTAACTATATGCACATTTTGTAATTAACCGGTGTTTAGCTATGATCATGAGAGCTTTTAGGCTGTAAATTATAAAATGTTACTATTTCCATTTTAAAATTAAGTGTCTGTATAGCCACTAAATCAAATATCCAAGATGGGTATCATTGGCTTTGTGCTTTAGACCTTAGATCTAACAAGTATAAATGAAAAATATTTGGATATGATTAAAGAACAAAGAATCAAGGGGATGGAGAGTAACCAATTCAGAAAATAAGAAACAGTTGGTTTACTCTAATTAGAAACATCTTGATGTTTCTCTTTTCCTTTGTATGTACCAATTCAAAGTTTGATGGAAAATTAACTGTTTATCCTCATTATAGGAATAAATTCTTTGCAGATCTTCTAAGGTGACTTTATGTTTTCCTTAAACTCTAATCTTAAAAGTTAGTTGCAGTTTATATTGGCCACAGGTCTTTCCTTTGGTGTAGTGAACTAGTTCACTTTTTATTTCTTAGAACTGAATATCTTATTTCTATTTCACCTAAATGAGAAAATCAAGCCACTATCAGATGTTCACCTGATCAACAGAAGACTAACTCTTGGATTAGGTTGAGTTGGGTTTACATGTGGCTGGAGCTAAAGAAAATGAAGGAGCATTTGTGTATAACTGATGAATTTGCTGTGTTTTCATCAGACAAACATTCAAGTAAAGTTTAAATTCTGACCCCCTTTAAAAAAATATCATCTCATAGACAATACAGATTACAGAATTAGCTTATATTTTCATTTTTACAATGATGTATTTATTAAAATTATAGAATTTGCCAGGGATTTAGCTTAGTGGTTCCGGCACCTGCCTCACAAGCTCAAGGTCCCGAGTTTGATCGCCGGTACCAAAAAAAAAAAAAAAAAATTATAGAATTTGTACTTTATTGCTTTCTCTCCATATTTACTTTCCCTACTTTTTAATAATGAATATCCTTATTCTGTATTCATCTTATACAGGAAGTTATATGTTTCTTTTGTAAAAAGAACCTCCTTACAAAGAGTGACACTCATTGACTATATGGACAGGTGCCTATTACCTAACTAGTACCAAACCTATGTTTTTATTTGTTGAGTCATTAAACAGAGACACATTAGTAAAAATGCGGCACAGAAACACAGTTTTCAGTGACAGTGACATGGTGAAACATTATGTGGTTTTATATGTTAATTTTATGTGTTAATTTTCTTTGAGTCCTAAAACATTTGCCTCTGCCCCAAGCTGCAAAACACACACATGCATGCATGCCTGTTGACTTCTGGTGACTCTGAGTAAATGCAAATATTAAAAAAGCAAGGCAAATTTAAACCTGAAAAATTCCTTAGTATTTTGTGTTGTACTTGCTTCTTTATTATATAGAATGAACAGTTTATGGCGGATCAACATAATATCATAAAATTAAGAAATGGTAGAATGATTGCAGGTGATAGTATTGTTTTGGAAGATGAAACATTTTAAATTATGTCAGAATCCCAAGAAACATGGAACTTAAAATGAAGATGATAGCTGCATTTTCCTCTTTTCTAACCCACTTTCACATAATATTAGAACTTTTCTTCTAAAATAGAAATATCATTGTACCTTTAGTCTTTATTAATCCACTTCAGCTCACATTTCTTATACTTAACAAGGGGAACATATTAGAATTGCCCTGAAAGCTTTAAAAATAAGCACATATCTGGACTACATCATCAGAAAATCTGATTTTTAAGCAGGAATAGTAAGTATATATGACAAAATGTTTGCTTTTTAGTTCATATGCCTTTTTTATGACATATCCAAACCAAGATTCTGTCTCATGTCATTTTTTCATCTTATATTTGTTCCATTGTAGTCATGCCAAACACAGGTATTACACAAACCTGTAGTTCTATTTCCTACCTATATACTTTTTATATATAGTTCCTAATGCCTTAGATATATTTTCTTGCCTTTAACTTCCATACCCTCCTCTCAGTTCCGGGTCTTTCATCTGTCAAACAAATACTCATCTTTCTACATTGTTCTTTAATGACAGAATTCCTTACTTTCCCAGACAGAAAGTCCTGTTACCTTTTTGTTTTGCATTTATGTTTATGTTTTTTCTCTAAGTAGTCATCTCTCCCATTAAACTGAGCTCAGTGAAATTATGTAATTTATGTTGTTCATGCTCATGGAAATTAATGTATGGATAAATAATAAAGTAAAAGCTCATTAGGAATTTAAATGCATAGTGGCTTCTCTGAACATTGTTTTCATGAGTATGATTAAAAAGATTCATGATCAGTCACCAAGATCTAGTTTGCTATGTACATAATTCTGTGTTTCTTAATGTAGCTTCCCATTAAACTAATGTGCATACATATTTATTTTTTCCTCTGTGTTTATAGGCGGAAGCTTACAAAACTATCCCTTATCTTCAGTCACATGCTGGCAGAAATCAAAGCAATCTTTCCCTCTGGTCAGTTCCAAGGAGATAACTTCCGTATTACGAAAGCAGATGCTGCTGAATTCTGGAGAAAGTTTTTTGGTGACAAGTAAGTAAAACTCCTTTTTTTCCCCAATATGGATCCATCTTTCAAAGGTGATACAGCCTTGTCTGCTGTAACAACTGCTATAGCAACTGCCTCCAGTTGCTACCGGTATATGCTTTGAGTATATTGAGAATGTATTTGAGTATTTTTGGTGAGTGATATAATCCATTGGTAATTTTTCTGGTGCACCTGTCAAAATTATGCCTCAGTAATAGAATGGTTTTGTTACTATAAAGTAAATGTCAAGGTACACAATATTACATATTTTAAGAGAATTCACTGAGTCAGTTTGCTTGGAGAAGCAGTTATATAAGAGAAGCAGATATAAGATACAGTATCAGAAGCATTCTGTACTACATACAAAAGCTAAGGTCTATACAATACACATGAAAAGCTTGTAACTTCTTATAATTTATTATACACCTAAGACCATATACACAACATTAAAGCTAGAAGAGAATATAAACTATAAAAATAGCATAAATAAATTGCTCTGATGATCCAGAGAGGGAATTAGTAGCTTTGATATTGCAGAAATTAGGGACTGCTTCCCCAAGGAGTTAGTATGTGAAGCTTGTTTAAGATCTGAAGTAGGGGTATGAGAAGGTCCTAGCACCTTGGTCAACCCCTGTGTTAATTACTTTTCTCTCATTGCTGAGGCAAACTACCTGGCATCCAAAGTGAAAGGGGAAAACGTTTATTTAGCGCAGTTTGTAGAGGTTTCAGTACTTTAATGGGCTGGCTCCAAGGCAGGGATGGCAAACAGGCATCGCAGAGGTGCACACAAGGTAGCAAAGGTAACAAGGGATCTTAATGGTGTCTTTCTGCCCCTTTTATCTTATCCAGACTACCAGGATTAGAGTGGTGCCAAACCAGTCACTCATGTAGTGGTTTAGTAATCACATGCCCTTCATCCTAGCATTAACATTCCAGATTTAACTACCTTCAAAAAAGACTGGATGAAGCTTTGGGGCGACATCTAGACACAAGCCACAGCAACTCCCTCTCCCTTTTCTTTTGTATTATTGCACAAAAAGTATTATGAGTGAACAAGATAATTTTCATAATGATATCATAAAATAATTATATTGTAAGGTCTCTAGGTAAAGTTGTTTTTTAATAGATCCCATCCAGACACAGATTCTGGTGAGCTTGGAAAATAATTGGAATTTTATGTTTAAAGTCAGAATAATTTATAAAAGATGTATAAAACTTTTATGAGAAATCTCTCAGGTGATCGAGTGGGCATCAGGAGGCAGATGATTTTCTCCATAACCTTTTAAGGGTACCATTAATGAGAAAGCACCCTTAGGATGTTCCTGAATATTGGCAACACTTTGGATGAACAGTAAGGAGAAAAGCTGATCTCCTACATAGATTACTACTGTAATTCTCAGCTTAAAAGTCTATATTTCATAACTGATAAAATTAGGGATACAGAATGTTGCCATGCACTTTAGATAATTTTGGTGCTTTGACACTGCTGAACTGCACGAAACACTGATTTTCTTTTGTTTTTTTGTTATAAAACGCCATATTTATATACATATATATATATATATATACACCAACATGACTACATTATACTTACATAGAATAATGCATATTTTAATATACATAATTTTTTGGCTTCAAAAATATGAAAGTGTTTTTCACTTCTGAATGATTTTTAAAAACTAAAGGAGAAAATGCCATTATTGCCATTAACATGCATTCTGTGTTCTAGAAATCTCCTAGCTGTTTATAATGTTCCTATATCCATTCATAAATAAATTTAAAAAATAAGATTCAGCCTCATGTCTTCATCTGAATTAGAATAGACAAAAACTAATTAAATATTTATGCAAGGTGGAAAACAGGAAGGGCTTGACAAGTTTGAGAGGAAGAGTGGGTGGGTTTGCATTTGTATTACCACCATAAGCCTAGAGCAAATGGTTGGTAACCTTCAAAATAAACATTCTCATAAAATTTAAGAAATATGTAGAATAAACTGCTCATAGTATTTGTTTTTTGGGACCTGAAATTTCTGATGAGGTCTAAAATTGTTTACTTGTAAGGTTAATGAAAAAGAGAAATTGTTCATATGTTCTTCAAGAGAGGAGTTTACTTTGCTGGCCTCTTAAACCACAAAGAACTATGCACTTGAAACATCTTTATTTCCTCTGATTTATAACCACAGACATCAAGGGGCTGAAACTTCTGTTTAGCTGCTACATGAGTGAAATCACTGGTACAACAAATAGGAGGTTCTTAAATACTGGTTAAGAAGTCTCCCTACCTTCCAAACCCTTTTACCTTTGTCTTCTGTTTTCACTGATTCCAGAAAGCTGCATAATTTGCCTTGAACATTTTTATTTCAGGATGAGAGCCAAATTTCAAGCTGTTTGTGGTACTTAACACATATGTCCGTAGCCATCCAAATTAATGATACTTTGATGAGATTATTGGAGAAACTTTTTATATTCTCCCTGGGTTTTCACCTTGTAGTTCCACAATGTTTTATTGAAATAATGAACAAATAAATGAGTGATATAACCTTTCAGTGGATTGAATTCTTTGTTATTCATTATGCTGTGATACAAGTTTGTAGTTTCCTTTAACTTGGTTCTTGCATTGAGTCATTCCTATTATTTATCTCAACACACATTTGTGTCATGTGTAAACACTTTCATTTAACCTAACCAGTGCTTTAAAACTTGAAAACAGCTTTATTTTCTGAAACAGAACCATTGTGAAGTTGGTTCTAAAAACAGCCAAACAGGTTCTAACTTAGGGATTATTGTTGTGATTTGCTTTCCATAAAGAACAGAATCAATAATATTAAAACATTAAGATTAATTAAAAATTTGGAACAAACTGTTGTTCATAAGACTTTATAATAAATTCATAAAGACAGTCTCAGGATTTGGACCTTATAAAAAATAGGGAGTAGAGAAATAAGTGCTATATGCCTAATGCTTTATATCTGTACTTCCTAACTTTTTTGAAGTCCAGCAGGGTTACCTCTTTGCCGAGGGCCTACACCTGCCAGCCAGCAGTCTCTGTCTGCCTAGAGGCCCAAAGGGATTAATAACACAAAATTTGTCACAGCAACCTAATTGGGAAAAACCTGTATTTGATACATTTCATGCAAATTTACTTAATATTATAATATTGTAAACTGTTCAATTCTACTTTTTCTTTCCTGGTTTATTGACCAGGAGATAATAGAAGTATATAAGAAAATAAAAGTGACATTATTGAATATACATTTCTAACTAAGGTATGTAAAACGAGACAATACTAAACTGATTTTCATAATCTAGAATATTTTTATAGTCCAGAAAATTTAAGTATTAAATTTAAGGGAAAAGTCTTATAAAATGCACAAGTAGCTTTTAGATAAGAAAGAAGGAAGGGAAAAAAGGAAGGAACAAAGGGAAAGTAGAAAGAGATAAGGAAAGAAGAAATGAAAAGAATACTAATGTGTTTGGACTTTGGATGGGATTTATTTTGTAAGCAAATCAGGTAGCAGTTGGAAATTAATCATGAATTGCTAAACAAATGATAATTCAACAAACATCAATTGATTATATTTCTTGAATCTTCTTAGTTATCTCATTCTTTTTATACTGACTTTATTTCAGATTCTCTTCTTCAAGTTCAAAGTCAGACTCTTCCATGGATTAATCCTATCCCTAACTTCAGTAGCACTTTTTCTTTTGAAATCAGTGAAATTTCTGGAAAACAGCTAATCATTTCAACCTTTTACCGGAATTGCTCATATGAATACTGGTTCTAGGTTAAAATCTAAATTCCTGTTAACCTAGGTTTTAAGAACTGTTTTTATTTCTGTTTCCTGGCTTCATCTCTTTGTTCCTAGCTCATCTGCAAAGAAACAGAGTATTCCGTTCTCTACTCATGTTTCCTCCTGCAAAGTTCGCTCTCTCTTTCTCTTTTCTTTTTTAAAATTTTTGTACCTCATTATGTTTCTTTCCCTACCACTGCTTAAGTAGCCAGTAACCCATGCCCCACTCGTTATTGCCACTTTGGAAGCTTCCTGTGGATCCCTACTCTAAACATGAATGTACATACTCTTTATGGCCAGGTACTTGGGCTCACATCTGTCTGACTGGATTACAATGCGTTGCTAACATACTTACATTTCCCAGTTGAGAAGATTCCAATAGATTAGAAAGTTTCTTTCAAAGCACTGACTTTATTTATCTCTGTTGTTCAGAGCCTGATACATTTCCTGGAATGTGTGGGTACTAATACTTGTTAATGGAGTATATGAATAATTGGATGGATGGATGATGATGTCTCATTTGTGCTGTCAGTTTGCAGTGACTTTACTACAAACTGACCTATTTATCATCAATTCCTGTAGTTCTACTCCTTGGATGTCTGTCTACCCTCTTCTTCCTTTTCTTCCATCCCAGAATTTTGAAATGTTTCTTAAAATCCAGGTTAGAAGTTCCATTTTCTGTTCTATTTTTAATCACATATGGCTTCTCACACAGTTAACTTTACCCATTCTTTGTATTCTTGTTGCATTTTAGACATCCTTATATTACTGAGCTGTGTTATGGCTTATATCTAGATGTCCTGCCAAAGCCTTAGGTGGTCACGGGTGTGATTTATTACAGCTGGCTGGGCTTAGGGCAGTGGTGGCAAACCTATGGCACACATGCTGCAGTGGGCTGTTTGTACCATTGAAAGGTCTAAAAGGTTCACCATGACTTATCTAAGCCTTGTGATAGTGGGATTAAGGGTATATGGTATTAAATTAGTTCCTTGATAGGAATTAACATAATTCTGGATGGATAATGAAGCCCTGTCCTCTGTGTGAGTAGCACCAATCAGTAGGCTTATAGCTTGGACAGAATATAAAGGGAGGGAGAGAAGGTAGGCTTGCTGCTTTCTGCTGCCTTCTGCCTGCCATGCCATGAATTGTTTCTCTGCTGCAATGCCCTTCTGTCATAAAACTGCTTTGGAGCCACCTGACTATGGACTGAAACCTC